AAGTATGCCACGGAAGTCACGGAAAAGGTCGTCTAGCCAACTGGCACTAACAGGAGCAAAAACCGGAAAAGCGCTGAGGCTCTCGGACGTCTGAACTGAGCTTAGATGGTTCAAGGCTTTGGGGTTGTGGGGCTTTCGTGGATGATGCTTGGAGTCTCAGGGTTTTCAGTTGTAGGCTCGAGATTTTGGAGCTTTCGATCTTCGTGTTTTGGAGCTTCAGGTTTTCAAAGGGTGTGGAGGCGAGCACTCGTGAAGACAGTCCTTGGGCCGTCCGCGCTGTCTGTGCCTAGATGCAAAGAGAAGCTGCGCAGCGTCGTCGGCAAGCATGACACGAGCTAATTACGACGGATATAACTTCAGGGGCATCCTTTTTCTTAACCCCCGTTTTTTTCTGAACCTTCCATCGTTTTTGAACCCCCCTCATTCCTTTCCCACCCCTGCATGCACAGGTGCCAAGCGACACTTCTTTTTGGCCGCCAACTCTTTTCTTTCGTGCCTTGGCGTGCTCCTCGCTCCTGTCCCTCAGCTCTTTGGATTCCCTAACACGACTTCCTTGATTTCCCGCAGATCAGACTCAGTCTCGTGAGGAGCAATTGTTAACGACGGCATAGCTGCATGTTGTTCCTTAAACCCTAAACCCTAAACCCTAAACCCTAAACCCTAAACCCTAAACCCTAAACCCTAAACCCTAAAACCCTAAACCCTGTACATTAGCTTGCTCCAAAAACCTGATTCGCAGCTGGAGACCCGCCCAGTCATTTTGTACGTCTCCAAAAATAGTACGGCACCCTTATTCCCAAAGGGTCCAAGTACCCATATAGTAGATATTTTGGGCCCCAAAATATCTACCATATAAGTACTTAGACCCTTTGGGATTGAAATAAAAAAGGACCTCAAGGGGACCCTATAATTTACACAGTTCAATGACCCCATCAAGCGGCAACACGATGCTGGCTGTTTAGCGTTCCGGGGGTGTCATTACGGCTCTTCAGCGTAAGGAACAAAACACCTTCCACATGGATCAACCCCTTGCATCCCCTTTCGGAGCGTGGGGATTGAGGATGTTGAACGCCCCTTGGAATTTTCAACAAGGCAGTATGTTCCACTTCATTCGTATTGCAAAGCATCGAATATTCGCAAGCTTTTCCATGCAATGTCCTTCTTGATGTTAAGGTAACCGAAAGCCCTGTCACGGTAAGACTCGATAAGGCTTCGAGTTTCGAGGGGCTTCAAAGGTTTTCAAGAAACCTACACCCAAAACCCTAAATCCTATCAATCCCAGACAGCGATGTGTGGCTCTGGGCCTACGCAGAGTAAGCGACGCAGATGCGCAGAGAAAGCCAACTCACGACTTCGGTGATTGCACGAAAACAGGCATGGTAGGGGCCGCAACAATTGGAACAGGGTTTTGGGGTTTCGGGTTCAAGGGTATACTGTGGTTATAGTATATTATAGTATGGAGGGCCCTCAATAATTGGAAGAGGGTTCCTTTCGTGGTAAGGAATTTCGGGCAAAAGGTCCTTCAGGGTTCGTGTCAGCTGGTATATATCATATAAGGAACCCGAAGGAAGATCAATTCAGGCCCCTAATAGTAAGTGTCATAATCCAAGGGCGCGGTCGTAGCAGCCTGCGCGATGAGTTTGCGAAAGGGTTCAAATTCTTAGATCTTTTGGGGATCCTTTGAAAGAAGGGTTTCAATGGGCCTAAATCCGAAGCCCAAAACCCTAAACCCCTAAACCCTAAGCCCAAAACCCTGAACCCCTAAACCCAATAACCCAAAAATCTCTATTCTTCCTTGCGCTCCCCAAGGTTCCCTATGACCCTCCCCCAGGTAGACCCCTCTCCCTTCAAGATCCCATAACGGTTTAGGGTTTAACGGTTTAGGGTTTTGGGATTAGGATTTAGGCGTTAAGGTCAAAGCCCATCCCAAACACTCAATATAACTACATCTAAGTTTTATAACCCCCGACAAAGGAAGATAACTTTAGAAGTTGGACTTGTAGGCACAAGCTAGGAATATCCATGAAGAGCCTTTGCTTAGTAATGCTCCAGACAGCTTTGCTACGATCTTCAGGGTGCTCAGCCTCTCATTCTTCGGGCTTGAAGAGTTGCGGGTGTTGGTGGGCTTTGGATTGTCAGGTGTATCCGTGCGTGAGGCTGAACCAGACAGAGGGAGGGAGGGAGGGAGG